CTTTTGGGTTATCAAAAATTATCCAGGTTTATTTTAGCCATTGATTCTTGAATACCTAAATAATATACTGTAAAAGTTTCAAGTTTCGCCCGAAGATCTGTGGCTTCGCCCGAAGCTTCAAAGTCACGTTAGCAGATGATCGGCATATATATAGCATATATATTAATTATTGAAAATTTGACGTAAAATCTAACTTTGGAAACACACCTTATTTTGCCACAATACTTTTATATTAATTTATTGATAAATGAAACTATTAAATAAAATAATTTAACATAAATTGTCAGAACATTTATTGCTTGGAATAAAGCTTCAAATTTAACGTGATATCACTTATATCATGATCGGCAAGTGATCGACATTGTGATATAATGCATATCCGCCCTGTTTTTCGGAGTACTACCTATCATGCATACCAGTCAACATGGTAAATCACTGATTTTTCGTAATATCAAATAATAAATATTTATTTAGAAACTCCAAGAACCTACAAAAGAAAAAAAAAAGTAATGTTACTAAGGAAAAAAAATAAACGTGAAACTCCTCCTTCCCCATTTACCTTTCACTAAAGTCCGGTTTGTATAATTCGTCTGGCGTTCCTACAATAAAAGAAAAAAATGTAACGTTAGTAATGTTACTAAAAGAAGTAAATTTCTCTCCCATTAATACCTTCACTCAAAAGTCTGGTTCGTAATTTCGTCCAGCTTTCCTACAAAAAAAAGAAAGAAACATTAGAAACGTTTCTTATTTAACATACATGACACACTACACCCACCCAACTTACATCAAGTGTAAGTCCGCCTTCTAAGAGTCTGGTGTCCTAGTCCTACAAAAAAACAAAGAAAGAAACGTTAGTACGTTTCTTTAATATTCAAAAACCAATTCCCCTCCCCTATTCCTAACATTATCCAAGTCCAGATTCGTTTTCAAGAGTCCGGCGTCCTAGCCCTACAAAAAAATAAAGAAAGAAACGTAAGTATGTTTCTTTACATAATATTAAAAAAACATTTTCCCCTCTTCCCATTCCTTACATTATCCAAGTCCGGGTTCATTTCCAAGAGTCTGGTGTCCTAGTTCTACAAAAAAAAAGAAAGAAACGTTAAAAACGTTTCTTAATTACAGTAAAACACATAACCCCAGTCTCCTTCTCCCACATTACCTTTATTGGTTCGACGGTTCGTCCTGGTCTTCAAGGTCCGGCGTTCTACAAAAAATAGGAGTCCCACAGGTTGAAAAGTGAAAAATCAGGCACCAATCGGTCACCAATCAGGTAGCTAATTGGTGACTGATTGGTGACTGATTGGTGCCTGATTGGCATTTTTGCCAAATACCGTCACCAATCAGGCAGTTTGCTAACCTTTGATCCAGTGATCAGAAAAAGATGAAATATAGCTCATTGGAATTGTCTCAACAAGACAAATCTAATGGTAGTAAAATCGCATTTCTAGGATTAATACTTGATGAGAAATTAAGTAAAATATAAAAATGAAAATGTATCATTTATATTTTATTTAATTTTTTATTAACTATTAATCCTAGAGATGCGATTTTACTACCATTAGATTCGTCTTGTTGAGACGATTCCAATGAGCTATATTTGATCTTT